TTCTCGATATCCACCTCTCTGAGGCTTATTCGTCATCAATGAGTGCGTTTTACCCTCAGACTGCTCTATTCTAGGGGTGAGATCTAACAGACTGGAAAACTTGCTCATAGATTGATTGACACTAGTATTTACCAGTTTCAGGATATCATCAAACTTTGGCTCGATACCCTCATCCTCCATACGGGAGCTTATCTTCACCCACTTCCTTTGCAATCGAGTAGGTAGACGTCTTGCTATTACTTCTAGGATAAAACTCGAGTTGAGGTCACTCATTCGATTCATCGAAATCATTCCATTCTTGTAAATTAGCAAATTATCTAAAAACTCAGTGAGTGCCTGGGAGTCATCCTGTAATTGACCACCATTACCCTCAACAGCCTCGAATAATTTCCCTGCAATCATCGAAGGTCCTCCGAACCTGTGACGTAATATACTCATAGCCTCATCGTAGCCCTCCTTTGGCTTCATAAACTTACAACACTGTATAGCTCTTGCAGCATCTCCAGTGCAATATCTCATCAAATACATCAATTTCAATTCATCATTTAATAAAAAACCACTCAACATGATCTCAAACTCCTTTGCAAATTGTAAATAATCAGCTGGGTTTCCATCGAAACACCGTGGTTCAAATTTAGGGAGTTTGATGTTCCTATTATCTCTGAACGGCGAAACAGTAACATCAACCATGTCATGCTCAACATCAGACACATCGTTACAATTAACAGACAAGTCACCATGACTTACTTTCCTGTTTGCATCCAAGACACTCTGTCCCTTCTTTGACCCAGGCATTGTTGAACTTGACCCAATTCCAAAAAGTTCCAGATATTGCTTGTTCAAAGAGGACTTGACCGGCACCAGGAAAAATGAACGGCGACTATACAAACTTTCACCAACTGTTTCAATCCGCCAGATCTGTTTCCATCGTCAGAAACTGTCAGCAAAGTCTCATAAACCGTTAATGCCCAGCTCTCGCTACGCTCGGGCTCACGCTGTTCTTAGAAGATTTCTCAGAAACGCTTAGTTATAACGGACGCAAAAACCAAAACACCGATCTGCCGTTTGATATTTCTGTATTGTTACACCAACATATAAAAGGAATAAGCGAACTAAGCAAACTAAGGTCTGAAAACAAATATTACAATAATAAATCTCTGTATTACTTCTGACGATGTTTCACTCTTCTTTCTGAACAGCGACCGATGAGACGATGACTGTCGTATTGATGCCTCCGCGAAAATTGGGGAAGTTGATTTTGAGCAAACAACCAAGAATTGATCGTTCAATCTTCAACTACATTGACAGAGGGGGTGTTGGGGGTCAGAGAGTATGGTTTTAGACCATTTCTCACATGTATTCAGATGTTTATCCACTAATGTTGTGACGAGCTGACTGAGTTTTACACCGCTAGTCCTACTAACTACCTTCAACATCCTTCTCAGGATGGTATAATCCTTTTTCAGTAACCCAGGAAAGACTAACGGGGAACAGTAAAGTAGAATAGGTAGGATACGAGAGTTGACAAATTGTGAAAGCAGAGGTTGAGGGACTCCAGTTAGTCTGAGTTTCTTAATGTAGTAGGTTAGACGAAACACTTTCTTGGAAATCATTTGGATATGAGATGACCAGGTAAGGTCGGAAGATATAACTAATCCGAGGTATTTTGCATTAGACTTTGTTTCAATTATAGTCCCCTCAATTCTACAGACATCATGAGTGCTTACTAGTGTTTGTAGATCTCGTTTATGCCTAAAGAAGAAGTCAATAGTCTGGCATTTCGAGGGATTCAGCGTTAGGCCATTTAGTTGAGACCACTGACTGATGTCCGACAGGAAGCTATTTAATTTGAAGCAGTCTGACTGAGACTTAACGGGAAGCGAAACAGTCAGGTCATCTGCATATTTGACGAAGTTGATTTCGTCTGAGAGAGGTAAGTCATGTAAGAAGAAGGAAAAGAGAAACGGCGAGAGAACAGCACCCTGAGGAACACCAGCTTCAGTAAGCAAAGGAGAGGAAGCTACACCATTATATACCGTGTCCTGCGTCCTATTGGAGAAGTAAGAGTGCAGCCAGTTGATAGCCCAGGACTCAGTTTGTGTAAGGCTAAGCTTGTTTAACAAAAGGCCTCTAGGTACAGAGTCAAAAGCAGATGTGTAATCAAGGAAAGTACAACGAACATACTTGGCTCCTTTGTCTAAGGAGGATACAATGTTGTGATGAAACACAGCAGCAGCATCCAAAGTACTTCTACCCTGTTTGTAAGCAAACTGCTTTGGATCGTTTGAGAAGCTTAGGGAGGGAATGAATTTTTGTAACAGTAATTTCTCCATCAGTTTCAAAAAAGGAGAGGTAATGACAATTGGTCCAAACTTAACACTATCTCCAGAACCAGACTTGGGTACAGGGATGATTTTAATATCTTTTCACAGAGAAGGTACATTATTATTAGAAAAAGAAGTATTGAAAATGCTTGTAAGTGGGTTACTTAAAATATCAGCACATACCTTTAAAACAATGGCAGGTATACCATCAGGGCCTAGACTCTGGGAAGGTTTAAGAGATTTCAAACATTTAAGAACATCAGAAGTATTGAAACGATGAAAGTCACTGGTCGTGTTATTAGTTAAATTGAAGGCAGAAAGGACATTTGGAGGGCGGATGAAAGATCTATTGAGAGTATTTACATCAATAGAAGAGGCAAAATTATTATGCTTACCACAACCAGTAATTTCTCTAAAAAGCTTCCATATGTTTTCTGAGGTTTTACAAAATAGTATTGTTTGATTATAAATGTTGTTTAGTCTCTTGATTTCAGATTTAATTTGGGTGTTTATCTTCTTAAGACCAGATTTATTCTTTGTCTTGTACAGCTTCTCTTTTTCTCTACAAAGTTTTTTGAGATGAGGGGAAGCGAAACGATCCATTCTTTTGAAAATTATCTGTTTTGGACAGCATATATCAAGACAGAATTTAAGATAGTCAGTCAAATTGGAAATAGTATCATCCAGTTTGTGTTCGTTGAAAAGTTCCCAGTTAGTGTCATTTAGCATGCATCTTAGTTTGAGCATATTTTCTTGTGAGTAACAACTTTGCTGTGTTTTCTTGGACAGATTTGAGAAGATATTAAAGATTAGCTGTATATAAGACATGGATTCGCCCCAAACTTGAATGTTGTGCTCTCCTATATAGTAACCTATGGTCCAGAGACTGGAAGAAAGTCGAAAGTGTTCGGAGATTCCTCACGAGACGCAAAACATGGTTCTACCAATTACAATTTGTAATGCATCTAACACATACTCGGTTTTTTTTAATGCAGAGACAGTATTTCAATATTTCTTGAGGTGCTCCATTGAATGACTAGTTAGCAGATTATTCCTACAAACTAGTGTCAAAAAAGAAAGCAACCATGTAATTTCACCATAAATCCCATCTATGTAATTTAATAATACTTGTGCGTGCCTGTGAAACTTGTGTGATCCACATAGGTAAGAATAAATAGATTTTTATATTGACGGGTGTTTACGACTGTAATTAGAGCACCTGTGATTAAACAGAGTGGAGTGGAACTTATTGTTACTCTTCAAAGTTATCAGGAAATATTGTTACAGTAACGCATCCGTAACATGGACAAATACTTAATGATGCAGGTTGCGAAACCACGACTTCCTTCTCTAGGTGACTACTCACAGAAAAGCCATTGGGGAAGACGTCTTCACCACCAATATTACACACTTTGGAACGAACTACCATCTGTGATTAGGTGTTGTGAAAACTCCGATGGGCTAAAACGGAGCCAAGAAGTACACATTAAGAGGTCGATCCTAGCTTGTCCAAAAGACAACAACTTTTGGTAGAATGGTAAATGAAAGCCTGTCTTCATTGAAGTCAGTTACATCCATTTCGGTTCCATTAGTTATGTGGCAGCTGTCCAGTCACTTTGCTGATTTCCTTTTCCCTATCATCTCCAGTAGGTGTATTAGTGTGACTGTTCCTAAAAACTTTTATACTAGGAACCATAACTTTTTTTATTTTTAGTGCATATTTTTCGATTATGGCTTGGTTCTACACCGTAGTATCGGTACAGGTATGGAATTTTCAGCATGTGCCTTGGGTAGCCCGAATATTGCCGCCCGACCTATCAGGTGTGCGGTGGCTGACGATCGAACCCCGGAAGATGTGCGTGGTCAGCGAATTCCTAACCGTTATGCCATGTATATGCACATGTATAATTAGTATAATCTAATGATATTTTGTGTAGAAATGACTACCTTCAGTATATGGCTACCTGTTATCATGAACCTTTCTGAAATGTATAATGTCGAAACATTGCAGTGTTTTTTCCATAATGTAGGTTCATGGGTCACGATGTCTAAGAAATGCCAAATAAAGAGCAGATATGGAAATTTAGCATAACAAATTTCGCTTCTCAGCTGTTTTATTCAGGGTCATTCCACATAACTTCATCACCAATCGTTCCACTACTCATTTCACTCTGTTAAATAGACTATCACTTAGCTGCAGTAATACTAGCTACTTCTATACTTCATAATTCTTGAGGGAAACTTAATTTCCTAGTCCTTTGTACTAACTACCTTTATACATGTTTAAAAGTAATGCTACTAACAATGTCCTCAGGTATCGATCTCTCTGGTGACATAATGGGAAGCACTTGCCATGAAAGCCATTAATGTGCAGCATACTGTACGACTGGGATGGGTTAAAAGAAATGTAATACTGCAACTACAATTATTGGCGAAAAATCCCAGAGCTCAACACTAAAACAGAAAGGAGGGTGGCGCATGCTGATCAGCACATATGGTATTGGCCACAAATGTGAATCGCTCCGATCCGATCGCTCCTAAAATCAGCGAGCCTGTTCAGCTTCTTGTCAAGATGCCACCCCATGTGCCCTAGGTCAGCTTGTCTTGCGGGTTCTAGGCCTTCAGAAGATTGAATTAACTTCTCACTGAAACATCACCTATCTCCGTGACGATTATCAAGGCTGTATTTAGTCTTGAGTTATCACTGGGTGGGTGTGATAAATATTTTGGTGGTAGGGTTTGAATGCTTGAATTTCCAGGTTGCAGAGAAGCCGCGCTGAGTACAAAGTGCGGTTTTGTTGCACTCTTGGAAAGTCGTATGTTTCAGTAGCTTGATTTTTCACTGCCAACTTTTTTCCACATATATTCCACTGGAGAACGATTATATTTTAATGAACATTCATTTTTCAGATAGTTTGAACTTAGATGTCTTAATTTTTCAACACCTGCGATATATATCTCAACCGATCAGCTGAGATAAGTGTCACTCCTAGGTGCCACTTAAAGGTTCATAAAACCGCTGTACGACTTGTTTTGGGAATAAGACGGCGACTTATCTAGAAGGGCCCGAGGCTGGAAAATGAGGGGTGTTGTAGCGTTAATGAGAAGGACATTGAATATGAGAATGTAAAGGTTCAATATGCACTACAAGAACTAGTTTGCCACAGAGAGTGTTGAGATGTAGAGTTGGTTTGTAGGATTTCAAGTAGTTGGGGTCACATGATCTCATTGACCTTTCTGGTCCATCTGAGGGACAAGCAGAGCCGAAGCACTAATCTCCCGCTGTAGTATTTTCAGTAACATCTGCGACCACTATTCCTCGTCAATATAGTTACTGCTATAATTGCAAGTGAGACGTAGGTCTATGGAACTACTTGCACATATTTGTTCTCGTGTCCTCTTCTACACATTCCTTCGGCAGTCGTTCTGTTAGGCCTACGGCTTATCACCAGTTCTTCATTGGCTTTTGCTTTGTAAATTTTTCAGGACACTAGAGGTTTGTTTATTGCTATTTCCTGTCTCTTTTTGTCCCGTTACTTTACCACTACTTATAAACTTTTCACATTGGTCTGATCATGTAGTGAAAATATCAAATAACATGTTTGTGTCCCAATTGAAACTTCTTTTGGGATGTGTGTGGTGCCTAGTTTTGTTTAGATTTTAAGCATTCTGTTGTGTGCCTCATTTCAAATGCCCCACTCTGAAACGTCAACTGAAAATTAACAGCTTCAGCTATGTAGCTATTCCGCATGTCATCCAGGGTGTACTTCAGGTCCGTGGACTTATGTAGTGTTGGGTAATACTGTGATTCTCCCTTATTCTACTCAGTGACATGAACTGAATGCTTATCCGACTGATGAAATCCTGTGTAGACTACAAGCGGAGGGATAGAGTATATGGCCTTTTGCGACGAGGTGTTATTTTTTCTCTATTCCTTTACGTTGGCAGCGAAACATAGGGCTTCAAGCTAGAGGCTCAAAGTTTCTGTAGCAGTGGTGATACTTTTTACAGGATGAGGTTGCTAGCCTCATGCCTAACCTTTCCTGTTTACCAGTCTTACTAATAGCTTAGCGAGGTAAAGGAGTGCATCCGTGGCCGGGGATCGAACCCTGGACCACCTGCGTGGTCGGCAAGCACTCTACCACTGTGCCACCGACGCACAACAGTCGACGGAAATACGATGATATTGGGAAAGACTTCGAGTTTCTGCATTTTCACGCTTATTGTTTTAGTAATTCCCAGGTGGATAAGGTCCAGATTTCCAAAGATGTCCTAGGATACTTGCCACCTTGGACTGAGAATGAATCTCACTTCTGTCAGTAAATGGGCGTATCTCGAACTGGATGAATGGATATCTAGGCATGCAGAAGGACGCGATAAAATGATGTATTTTGGAGGGTGTTTTCATCACGTGCTACTCTGACTCATCTCCGACAAATGTTTACTGTGAGAAATTGGTCTACAGGTGTCACCTTACTACACTGTCTCCGGATGTTGGAATTACCATTTCTGTGTCGCGCAGCCGGCAGAATGGTCCCATTTTAAACAGCAGTGTATCATCAGCGTCTGAATTATAGCAGGACCATGGATACTTAGTTCAAATACTTACTTCATTCCTTGGTGGGTTTGTAGCATGTGTGCGGGTGATGATTTAGGTGAGGGGTTGTCGATTGACTGTCGGTGAATTTTTCACACTTCAGAATGACTCACACCAAATAAAATACAGATGTATATTAATGCCCACTTTGACGAATTCTGTGTAGACTGTGGTTATTAACTTTATGAGCACAGAGGTGAAGCTCTCCAAGCCTACTGAGACGCATCAGTGGTAGTTTTGTGATCATCTAAGGCACAAATGTGTAAAGTGAGATGCTTCAGTGGGTCGTCAAGGTGATTATCCAACTCATATTCACATACACGGAAGAGCCTGACAAACAACTTGACAGAATTTTGTCTGAATTGGTGAACCTCAACGGATACACAGTTTGAGATGGCTGTGCATAATGAGCGGTTAACCATAGGGGTTTGCTTGCCCTCTTCACTCTTCTACAGTATCTGGGTAAGAAATATCGTGTGCTTTTTCGGTTTTGACACTTTGTTAATTGAATTCCTGTTCTTCGTTTCACCTCATTTAGCAGCAAGGTATTCCTCGAGATCTTTTGGCGTTCATATCAGTGCATTTCTTCGTTATGGTTTGTTCGATGTGTGTGATCTTCTCCACCATATTTTGCATGAATTTCCAAACAACTTTTATATATTGGTATCTAAGCAGTCATTTATACCTGAGAATTGACGCTAACTGTTTATCCGTTAGCAGAAAGATTTTGTCAAAATTGGGAGTTGCTTTTAAAAGTCATGGAAAGCCTGTCTTCTGTACATTCAGCGTGACGTGAAAGATAGAGATACAGTATTATAATGTCTCGTTCAGCCAATTACATGAGGGTAATTTGACATATTCGCGTTCTCGTGTGCCACAAAATCCAACTCCGTGGACGGATTTAGTAAAGTTTGGAGTTCAGTGTAGGTGAGGTAACCAGACTGTCTCACTAGGTTCTCTGAACTCGATTCAGGCGTTTTCAGCAGTAGTCTGAGATAAATACAGTCACTGACTGGATGTATATGTGTGTGAACATGCATGGCTACGTTCAACAATGGTTATGTGAAGAGAACGGCGCTGGGATCATTAAGCCCGACTGGTGCTTCACATTCGGTCATGATTTGAAGTACATATCCGGAGAACCATGGCCGGCATTTTACTCGATAATTTCATTTCTTGTTTGCTTTTTCGGTGCGAATTAGTTGAATATTCATTTTTGGATATATGTTACATTTTCGTACTTAGATGTCCTCCCTCATACTGCTTGTTGTCACGCATTATTTCAGGGGTGCCGTAAGTCGAAAATAAGGACTATCTGGTTCACACAGCGTTGACCTCAGTCGAAAAATTTGTGTTCGCAAAGCTCGTGTTTGCTGGTTGGTGATTGACTTCAGTATTTTGCGACGATACTAAGAAACATTTTAGACGTAAGTCATATTGCTTTGATTTATAAATTTTTTTGATTGGAGAGTGTAATGTGCTTTAGAATCTTAAGGTTTTGTTGTGGTGTAGCTTGTTTTTTTGTGGTTGATATTTGCGTCGTCCTCGACGGGCGATGTTAGCTGATATAGGATCAGGTTGGTTGTAAAAGTCAGTGGAGGTCAAATTATAACACTGCTTTATCAGTCACTGAAACCCTCAACAGTCAGTTTAAGCCACTTAGAGGGGTTGGGGTGATTGGGATGGTAAAAGGCAATGAAGGCTGGAGAAAATCGGCGATATGCTTCAAAATTGTTGTCAATGGCGTAAATGCATTCACTCTTTGTGATTTGTCATATCCAATAGAAATCAGCTGTTCTTCCAAATTACAATTCTGTTTGCCTCACACTTCTGTTTATTATGTGTCCTTTTTAACCTCCCTTTACTCTCTTCTCTTGCTTTGTGTGCTACATGGAGGTAGTGTGGCAACTTGAACTGCTGCATATCTCTGCAAAGTTCTACGTTGAAACCAGTTAGTCAGTCAATTATGATAGCTTGTTACAAGGCATTGAAAATAGTATACTCCCTAGACATTACAAGATGAAACTGTGTGAGTTATTTCCCAAATTTAGGGAATGAATTTAGCGGTAATATTTCAAGGCGATATGAGTTGTTGTCACAGAATTTTACTATTCCTGAGATGAAGGTTGTTCTGCCCTGTCGTGTGGTTTTATCGGTGAACATCGGTCTTGGTCTGACTGTTGTATTTGCTTTTGTTTATTGGTGAATCTGTTTAGGGCATATTTTTGTTGTGTATCAGATTATATTTTATTGGTCTTACAGTCAAATAACTTCTTTTCTAGCACTATACGTTTTATGTCATAGACAGGTGTTTTAGTTATTATATTGCTTCGATATAATTAGTTTCTGATTACAGTAATATTCGTAATTGGAGTTGAGCATGGTGTCAGATCTACACACCTTTCTAAATCTATGAGTAGCTTTAGATATTCATATTTACCGACAGTCTTTATACTCTCCCTTTATTTGGTTAATCTTAAGGAATCGAGCTGCTTTAACTTTTAGTATGTATTAAATGTTAAATTTGACTTCGCTGTTCATGATATGTACTCACTGAAACTATTTCTGCATGATACCTTTTGTTTGGAAGTAACTATATACACTTCATATTTCGATTTGAATGAATAGCCTTCCTTGTTTTCAGGTCTTAAGTCAATGTACATCTTAAATTGGTCGATAAATCTGCCTTTTATTTACCTATAGTTTAATTATTTTATCATATATGGAGTTCACTTATTGGTAAACAGGATAAGTTGAAAATGAATGTAGTGTTTTTGGAAGGTAATTTTCTGCTTTACTATAAAGCATTATTGTTCTATGCAGCCATTCAAAATATAGCATACTTTAAATACTATTTCACTGCTATATTGATTTTCCAGTTTGTTGGGGGGGGACCTTCCTTTTTAAGCGCACCTTTTCTGGTTGATGACATTTTGTCTTTTCTCATTCCTTATTCCCCAATATAATGAATAGGAATGGTTTATTTTATATGTACTACAATTCCGTGATATGGATAACTAGATACTTTTTCAGATATTGCTTAAGTTTTTTGAATGTTACTCACTTTTAGTCATATTTGATACATGTGGACTTATAATGCTATCCGGTAGGTCAGATCTAAATAGAAGAAATAGGTCTCAAATCCGGAACTCTCTAACTATGCTTAGGCTATCGAAACAGACCTCTGTTTCTCCAAGAGTTTTATTTCTAATAACTTACGATCATAAGATAAGAAACTTTTCTGGACTGATATTTTAGGATGTGCACTTACAGAAAAGTTAATTTATTTCTCTCATGTATACACTTTCTGCCAGAAATTATCCTCTCTGTTGGATGGTCCCAGGTTTTGTGCTTGTCGGCACTTGTCAGAAAGGCGTATCTACAATCTTGAAGGGATTTATGTCGCTTCTGAGATTTGGACCCCGTGTCACCCAATGCTGCACTCAGAGACGTTACTACTGAGCTATTCAAACTCGCTATTGACGTCTTGCAAGATTGTAGTGGGTATAAGTATAAAACTTGGTCACTATGGTACATACTGAATTCTCTCAGCGAAGTTTTCAACGTGCACACCACGCTACAGTGTAAATCCAGTTTTACTTATTCAAATCCCCACATAATAGTATAAGTACATTAACTATAAAGCAGGATTTCAGATACACCTGCAATAATTCCTTAGTTCATTTTTTTATGGTATAAACTGGTTCAACTCACTGAATTAGACAATCGATTATACTTTCAATCGACAAGTCATTACGTTTGAATCCCCTTCCACCTCCTGAGTTATGGCCGGAAAGGTAATATGACTGGCTCTCACACGATGGGTGTTATTGATTATTTAATGAATATACCAACATGCATGCAGATGTTGAGTTAAATATTATTTATTGTGTACACTGTTTTGCACTTATTAACACATGAAATCACATAGACCAAGTCTCTTTGATATAAAAGCAAATTTGACTGCGGATGTTGGTTTTCATTCTGGTTGAAACTTGTCATTTGGATGCTTTAAATCCCAGCAAGTCTGTAAATCTTGTTCTTCTTGCTTTAGTCGGTAGCTTTCGACTGACAAGTTAGGTGGACTATTAATATTGGTTTTATTCCTTTGCGCCCCAGTGGTACATAGAGCTTCAAGCTTCAGCTCTGAAGTTTCAGTGGTGATGCGTTTTATCTTTTATGCGGTGAGTTTGTTAGCCTCACTCCACACCTTCCCTCGCTACTGAGCTTACTACCGGCTAAGCGAGGTTTAGGAGTGTGTCAGCTGGGAGTCAAGCGTCGGACCGTGTGAGGCGTGGTTGTTGAGGATTTCGCCAGTGAACCACCGACTAACTAATCTGGTTGAAGTAGTTTTTTTAATTACCACTGAGTGACCTTACCAGTTTTTACGCTTCTAGAATGATTTGAAATGAAATATAATGACTAGCGGGACAGCGAGATATCGCTTACATCTTCAACTGACGGGGCACTGAAATAAAAGTTTCTATATATATACTAACATGTATATACTTTTAATCGCTTGCAAATATGTCTTTCAAAATATATCATAAATATCATTTATGAGTATACTGTTATTAAAAACAAAATGTGTAGTTCAGCGAAGAGTCTGTTTTCGGCGAATTCATTCTTTCGCATTTGTATACTATGTCTTTTTCATGGAATATGGTAGCACCAAAAGTGATAAGTTGTCATAATCACAGTTGTTAGTATTAGTCAATGGATAAGACGAGTTGAAAAGACGAGGAGGGGAAATCAATCGACGGGGCTGTGAAATTACATCGACTAAGATGGTTAGGACATGTGTTATGCATGCCTAGTCATCGCCTTCCTCGACTGACGGGCAATGTTAGCTGACATAGGATTGGTCAGGCTGGAAAAGAGCTAGCGGCGGTCAAACCAAAACATGACACCAGTCAATGAAATCCACAACAGTTATTTTAAGCCACGTTGAAAGGTGTAGACTGGCTTCCTGGTTGGAGTCCTGGGGACGGTTAAAAACCAATGGCTGGGACAATCGGTGATATGGCTCAAAATCGTTCTCAATGGCTGGTGCAGATATATCCACTCCTTGTGACTTGGGATTTCCCATGAAACTATATTGTTCTTCGTTATTACTATTCCTTTGTGTCACACCTCTGTTTACTGTCTCTAGTGTGCATTTCTTCTACTTTCTTCTGTTGCTTTGTGTGGTACAAGGAGGGAGTGTGGCGACTTGAACTGGTGCAATGTTCTATGTCGAAAATAGACAGACAGACAGAACGAGTTGAATAAGTATATTACAGTTTCTTGGCAAGATAAATACAAGATGATTGAGTTGTGATCAGGACACACATAGAAATGAAGGAAACTGTGGAAATGTGTAAGAGGTCTAAAGGAATACACTAGTTATAAGGAGTTAAAAAGCAAGGATACAGATATCAAGGTAATTAGAGACCAACAAGGTTGTTACCATGATAGTAGAAGTGGTTGAATAAATTTCTTTTGCATACATATCGCCGGTTTTTCTAGCTGAGTAACCAAAGCTTCAGCAATGTAAAGGAGGTGGACGTGTCTGGTGTCTCTGTCAGGTTGTTTTTGACTTTGTAGGCTACTTTGTAAGAGGACTCGTTTGTTGAGATGAAATGACAATGACCAATGTTGACACGAGATGTTCGATTGTTACACTCCTTATATAGCCACTACAGTCTGTTTGCAACGATGGGGGTATAATGTTCCTGAACCCTTTTAGACAGGATACACGTCGCATTACCAGTATACATGGTTTCAATTCAACAAGTGAACTTATATATATGTACATAGAAGTAGTGAAAAGCGATATCTTGTCCTTAAGGCTTTTGTAGATCAATAGCCGACTGGAGAACATAACTGTTGCGAAGAATGTTCTTTTCAAAGACGATGAAACTCTTCTCTCAGAGATATCTGGCGTGAAGGCCACATTCATGTAAAGTTTCATTTTAGGTACAAGTGATATTTCGTAATTTTGAACTTTTAGTTTAATATTCTTGTCAATGACTCTTGGTGAGTGAGTATCTATTTCGAATGAAGGTTTCTTTCAAAAGATCTAGTTCTACTTCTAGGATGTCAGGACTACAAATCTGGTCGGATGAAAGTGACAAGAGATTTAATTAAAATTTCATTTACATTTAACAGATATCTAACTTTAAGGACTCGTTAGTAGACTGTTCCAAGTGTTGCTAATTCGATCCCTACCACAACTCTCAGTTCTTTATTTTCAGCTTCATTCAACAACCATCACCTCATCTCATTAATATTATATAGATTTAAAAGAATTAAAACTGTTTGTCTCTTCTTCTCTTATGAAATCCATTACATCCTGATGGCTTTTTTTTGTGTGTACATATTACTATGTATAAAATATGCATTTATGTAAAAGTATTTATTTGTTATCTTGATGACGTATTTAATT